GTCCGTAATGTAATACGGCACCTAATGTTTAGGGCCAAAAAATTAAGGGACCCTTATATTTTGCTCAGTAACCTTCATTTTCCCTTAAGATCAATGCGAGGTCGGCTCAGGAGTGCCTGTCTGCTCTGCAGACGCTCCGGATGCGCGATGCAGGAGAGCCGAAAGGGCTTGGAGAGCCGCCGTGAATGATGCTGAGTATTCATACTGTAAGAGCTTGAATACTTACCAACATGACTCCTAGGGTCCTCGGGATTATAACGATATATATATATATAACGATCCTATAATATAGCGAAGAACCCTATATTCTAATGGTTATACATTATAGGGCTTGCCAGCCTGGAGTTTGATGACTGAATGCAGTGGAAGACCTCGCGCTTCAGTTTCCTGACTCGCGTGCTACTTCCGATTTCATATTGAATTTGTGAGTTCAGCCGAGGCTGTTCAGTTTTAGTTCCTTGGTCTTGGCTTTGAGGTTTTGGGTCTTGTGTGATCCTATTGTTGTCTTGCTTCTTCTAGCCATCCATTTACGTCCTAACTTCCTGCTACTTTTCTTTGGCCTTTGCACCCAGTTTTTCGTCGGACTGGCTCTGTCGATCTGTTCGACAGTGGCAGCAGCTCAAACTTAACCGACGAATCGCAATTTCGCCTGGAATGTTCGAGATGAGAGGGGCGAAAACTTAATTCTTGCAGAGTTCGGTGTTGCCTTACCGCTGTCATTCTCACAAACTTCTTCGGATCGATTCGCCTTGTCCCTGTCCAGTGCCAGGCTCTCTGACACAGTCTCCGATGGTTTCTGGCTCGGGGTCTCAGAGAAGCAGAATCAGCACTCAGATTTGTGATCATGGGGAGCGGATGCGACAGGTACGATTGCGATCACAATACCTGTAAATCATTGTTGCAGCTGCCTGCTGCTGGTGTTACTACTACCATTAGTCGTCGTCGCAGTTGTATGGGTTGTAAACGCAATTAGCCGTAGTCGTAGTAGAAGAATGGCCGGGGCGGGGAAGAAGCAAGCAGTAGTAGTGGCGGTGGTCGTGGTAGTGGTAATGGTTGTCGTAGTAAGCGTGTCGTCGTCGTAGTGGTGGTAGTCGT